AGTTGTTGTTTTGTACAGGAGGAGGAATGATCCCAAACCTATTGTGATGAGTATTGGGAGCATCTCCGGCTCCTATGATCCTTGGGGGTCTAGCCGCGTGTTAGGGGTTTCCATTGCCCCTTCCCACTGCCCCGTGAGCTGGAGGAGGTCCCTCTGGATGCTCGTGTTCAGCCATAGCTTCAAAGTCAACCAAACCGTGCTGAACAATCTCCTCAAAAGCTCTGGCTTGTTCTCGTACTCTTCTTTGCCGTGAATGACCAAGCTGATGAATGTTGTCCAAGGGTTGAAGTAGATTGTTGTCTCCCCTGGAACGAAGATTCATGTACCTGAGAGACACACGTTTGAGAGTAGAGAAATTAGTAACTAAAACATGGTAAAGGTTTAGTCTTTACTAAGCCCCAAATCTCTATGCTTTCTAACACTCCTATAATGGCAACGGCGCCATTTGATAACTACTTTCTTTGCAAGGGTGAGGATGCAATGAGGCTATCAAACTCAAATGCAACACTTAGGTTGTAGTACAGTATGCAAGTGAGAGTCAATCCATTTCTAGGAGCTAGGAAGGTCAAAGAGAATGCAAGAGCAGTGTAAAGCTAAGCGAATAACATGCGGTTTTGTAAAAATCCTAAAAACTATATGCAGCAACCAAATGAAATGCAAAACTATTTTAAAAATACCAGGAATGATTAAACTACCACGAGGAACAAACGGAATAATTAAAATGCAAGGCTATGATTTAACAAAAATCGACTAGTGGATCGACCACAGGATCGACCACTAGATCGAGCAGTTTGGATCGATCTCGTCTAAAAATGCAAGCATGAAGAAACTAATGACCAGGATGCAGCAAATATCAAGCGAATGACTAACGAAGATGTAAGAATACTAAGAGAGAAGGGTCTAGGGTTGAGATTCATGGTCCGGGGTTTCAAGGGTCCAAGTTGGGGTTGAAAACTTTAAATCGACTCACTTTGTGAGATTCCCTAAGCCTTAAAAACGAAAAAAGATCCATCCGTGGCTTTCGGTATGGATCACTCCTTCATCCCCTCCTCCAAACCCATGGCTTGTGGTGGAAAGAGAGGTTGAAGGGCAATGAACTCAGATTTCAAACACACGGCCTAACTAGTCCCCTAAACTTCCATGGCTTTTGGGAAAGGGTAACTAGTCTCTAGGATGTGATTTTCAGAGATCTCTGGATCCTGTCAAGGTAAGAGACCTCTCTGATAATAAAGATCTTGGCATGAGAGTCTTTAAGCCTTAGGGACTCAACATCCTAGAAGAGAAAGCCATTAAGAACAAGAAAACTACCAACTTAAATACCCCTTAGACCCCACGAATCCTCTCAACCCCGAGACCCAAAGGAAACTACTCGCTACACATGAGAATAACCGAAATAAACATGAAAGACGAATCGATGAACATGAAAACGATTACTTAAGACTTAAACGATTCGAAAATATTCAAGAACAAGGTTCAAAGTCTAACAATGGCGGATAATCTCCAAACCAGAGAGAAAAAGTATAAAAAGATAAGATTGAAAAAGTGTGTGTCGAAAAAGACATCGCCGCCTTCCCAAAATGGCGAAAACAGCTCGATGGTCCCCCCCTCGCTAGCGGCCAAAAGCGGTTGAAAGGACAGAGATCGACTTCGGGATCGAGCGGCTCTCTCGATCACTTTCGGACATCGTGTCTTCTACTCGATCTGGGTCTCGATCATCTTCGGCGGATCGAGTGTTGCATCCGATCTTGGTATCGATCTTCGGTCGGATCGAAGTGGTGGACTCGATCCGGCTCTCGCTCTGCATGGCGTCATTTACGTTCGTACCATTTGATCGATTGCTCCACTCGATCTTCGTCTCTATCATTTCCCTTGGATCGCCTGGGCCTCTCGATCTTCTGGTCGATCTCATCTAGATCGACCTGCCATGCTCGATCTGCTCCCCGATCTCTGGTCCTTAGCAAACATCCGACCTTCCACGAACCGCCACAACAGCTTCAACACGTCCACGAACCTCCACGACTCCAAAGTAGCCAGAAACAACCTGAATGTGATGCAAAATGCAAGGAACATGCGTATGCTGGTGCGAGAATGCTCTAGGACCCTAAGTGATGCAATCTAGTCTAAAGTGTGATGTAAATGCATGAAAAGCTAACTGATATGTATGCAAAATGCATGCAATATGCAGTAACATCAGTCTCCATAGTTTGTCTATACTGTTTTGAACTTTGTGACAATAAGCTTTAATATGGCCATGCTTTCCACAGAAATAGCAACCTGTCCTTCTTGGTTGTTGTTGAGATTGAATTAATCTTTGCTGCTGAACTTGAGTTTGCTGACTCTTTTTCTCAAAGTAACGAGTCTCTTCCTCATGTTTTCCTCCACTAACAACATAGGTTTTTCATGTAGAGTTAATCCTTGATATCCCAGGCCTCTATGTGTTTTTTCAGTTCTTCCTATATTCAGAATCTTGTCAAGTTCTTTTGTCCCTGAGTTGAGCATCCTGATTTGCTTAAGCTTTTCGTCAAGATCCATCTGCACTTTCTGCGACTTCTTTCTCTCTTCTAATAGCTCGAATTCTAATCTGTCCACCATTGCTTTGAGACTAGTCTTCTCTCTGATCAAAGTAACATTCTCCTTAGTTATTTTGATTAAAGTGTCACAGATTTCTTTGTACTCAGGTTTCATCACAATTTCATCTTCATCATCAGTTGAGTCATACTCTTCTCCTTGATCTTCGTTTCTGCTCTCTATTTCTTTTTCATCTTTAAAAGCTTCATTGTCTTCAATGTCATCGCTTTCTACAATGAAAACAACAAAGTTACTCAAATCTTCTTCACTTTCGTCTTCCTCAGAGTCACTTCCATCAATGCCAATGAACGATTGTTCTCCCCGAGCCTTCTGATTATTCGCACATTCCATCTGAGTGTGACCGAAACCCTTGCATTTAAAGCACTTGATCTCCCTTCTTTTTGGAGTTGGACAATTAACTTTAAAATGTCTATAGCCTTTGCATTCAAAACACTGAAAATCAGATTTTATATTGCTCTTTTCTGATTCAGCTGATCTTCTACTGGATGTGAACCTCTTATTTCTCTGATCCTTTTTGAATCCTTGAGTGAATTTCTTTACCAACAGCGCCACTGTTTCTTCTAGGTCACTCTGTTTTTTATTTTCTGTAACACCAAGGGCAATTCCTGTGTATTTCTCAGGGTTTTCAGCAACTAGTTCCATCTCATATGCTTCAATCATCCCAACTGCTTCTTCAAACTTTAGAGTATATGTGTTTAGAGAAACCCTCATAGATGTTTTTTGAGCAGCAAACTTAGGAGGAAGACATCTCAAGAGTTTCTTAACAAGCTTGCTGTCTTTGTATTTCTTTCCTAGTACTTCAGCCTCATTCGCAATAGCACACATCTTAGCACTGAATTCTTCAACAGTCTCATGCTTTTCCATTCTCAGATTCTCGAATTTTGAAGCAAGCAGATCAAGTCGACTCCTTTTACCTGTCTCTGTTCCTTCAAACACACTTTGTAGAATCTCTCAAGCAGCTTTCGCAGATTTGCAGCTTTGAATTAATTCAAACTGTTTTACTTCTACAGATTTGAAAATCTCACATAAAGCTTTTGAATTCCACTTTGCTTGCAGCTTCTCCGAAACTGTCCATTCATTTTTTGGTTTTGGAATTGAGTTGCCTTCTTTGTCTACTTTTGTTGGAGGTGACCATCCTTCTTCAACCGCAGTCCATGCATCTTCATCAATGCTTTTGATTGCTGCTGTCATCTTAGATTTCCACCATCCATACGTTGCTTTATTCAGCACTGTTTGCTTCACAAGCACAACTTCTCTAGCGTTCTCCATCTTGTCGCAGGATCACACCTGAATAAGTGCAGGTTCCCGCTCTGATACCAATTGAGAAAGCAAGAACTTCTAGAGATAGTGTTTAACACAGAGATTCTTCAAACAATTCTTCAATTAGATTTTATTCAAAGGTAACTTACAAGAAACCAATCTTTAGAGAACTTACAAGTATCGCTCAAAGAAAATCTAATCTCCCCAATTTGAATTATCTTACAAGAAAATCCAAAACCCATTTGGCTTTTAGAAAACTCAAGTTCTTAATCTCTGATTTTCTAAAAAAGCCATCAACATCTATTTATAATTATATACTCCATGACTTTTACAATTTTCTAATCCTAAGATAAAAACAATTTTCTTTTTGTTATTATCTTGTGATTTCCTTTTCTTGTTGATTTTCCTTTTTTCCTTAAGCTTACAAGCTTTGATCCTCTAACTGATTTCTTTTTCTCTTGCAGGTTTTAGCTCCATATTTCTTGGACAAAATATTGCATCTTCACAATTACCCACATATGGACAGATAGGATTAAACGAAGACATGGTGACATACTCATGCTGTAAACTCGGCTTATTCATCTGATTGATATAGCTGTTCGAGATAGAATTTCCCCTATTCTATGGTATTATGTGAGATATGAAGATGCGTTTGCAAAATAGTTTGAGACTGGTGGCTGAAATTTATTAATCATCATTTTGTTGTCTTAATTAATACATATTGTCCTTGTCCTTTATGTAAAAATGCTTTTTTGATTAAATAAATTAACATTTTATTCAAAAAATATTAAATAGATAATTTAAATTTTATATAGAACTGAGGTAGGAAAATGTAATATATATATAAAAAAATGTAAGTTTAGTTCAGATTGAAATCGATCATTTTTCTTTTCCATGTTAAAAGATAATATTTTTGTAATCATAAAAGATTCTCGTACTATACAAGTATCTATAATTAACCTGTACAGATCTACACCACTGTATTTCATGATATAAAATATTGATCTGACATTTTAATATAATGATATATCTTGATTTAGTTGAAGTAATCTCTCTCCACATTATCGAAGCTCTCTCCAATGACCACTCTCTTTTTCAACTCCAACACACTTTCCTCCTTTATTATATACGTATCACTTATTATTCTCAGTCTCCGGCATCCATCTGCGGCGACGGCAGCCGGATGTCTAGCTCCGCCGGTCATTTTTAACTTTGGAGATTCCAATTCCGACACAGGCGGACTCGTCGCTGGACTCGGTTACCCCATCGGCTTCCCAAATGGACGCTTATTTTTCCGGCGATCCACTGGCCGTTTGTCCGACGGACGTCTTCTCATCGATTATCTCTGTAAGTAAACAAAAAAAAACAGAAACTCTGATTTTGCTAGTGATTGTGTTGTATCCACCGTCCGTTACGATCTGTGATGTACGGCTCAGATTGCGCTTGTCGGTGATCTGCAGGTGTGATCCATCGAAACAACACATATTCGGTCATTGAAATTTAGTAGGAGAAAGTGGGTCCCATGTACAACATGTTAGAAGTGAATGTACTTTGACCCTTTTCATCATATGGTTGGTTCAGTTTTCGGTCTGGTTTTGATTCGCATTAATGGATGCAGTACTGATTTGGTTTTGTTTATTTTAGTTTTTGATTCGGATTCAGTTTGTTCTTTTGTTAAAAACATAACTTAAAACTACAAACCAATTTCCGTAATATGATTTTAATTTGGATACCTATAAAGTTAAAATATTAGTTTTTATGAATTTTGGTTTATTCGGCTAGTTATTATACAAAAACAAAACCAAACACTATTTTGATTTGCTTCGGTACAGTTTTTCACTTAGGTTTGAAGCGAAGGTAATTCAACAAATTTTAATATTTTTTGGTTTACTCGACTCGTTATTGAAAAGGTGTAACTTAGAAGCCAGCGTAATTCAACAAAATTTTGGAATTTAGTTTGGTTATTTTGTGTATAGCCTCCTCATATGTTTGTATTTGCATATTGAGTTTTGGTAGATATTTGGAATTTATCTAAATTTGGTTAATAGATTAAACTTGCGAGGGAATTTGCAGGCCAGAGTTTGAATACAAGTCTTTTGAGGCCATACTTAGATTCATTGGGAGGATCAAGATTCCAAAATGGGGCAAATTTTGCAATTGTTGGATCCTCTACTCTTCCCAAAAACGTCCCTTTTTCACTTAACATTCAAATTTCGCAATACGTCCATTTCAAATCTCGATCCCTCGAGCTTGCTTCTAGTTCAAGTAAACCTATCTTATCCCAGATCAATTTTGTATCTCTTCTCTTCTTGGTTGATGATTTGACTGAGTCAACATTATCTTTTGTAGAACAATTAACGGGAACGCTCATAAGCGAGGGTGGCTTCAGAAACGCATTATACATGATCGATATAGGATAGGGCAGAACGACATCGCTCGTTCCTTCTCTAAAGACAACTCGTATTCTCAGACCGTCAAGATGATTCCACAGATTGTTTCCGAGATAAAAAGCGGCGTAAAGGTAAGAACTTTCCGCCTTATAGAACTTTGGTACGCACCATGTAACCTGTTAAAATCGGTTTTGCGATCTACAGAGATTGTATGATGAAGGAGGAAGGAGATTCTGGATTCACAACACGGGTCCATTAGGTTGTCTACCTCAGAAACTTTCAATGGTCCAGAAAAAAGAGCTTGATCAGCACGGTTGCTTAGCTACTTTCAACTCGGCAGCAAAAGTATTTAACCAGGGATTGGATCATATGTGTGACGAGCTAAGGACCGAATTGCTGGAAGCTACCATAATCTATGTCGACATATACGCTATCAAATACAGCCTCATTGAAAACTCCAACAAATACGGTAAATCAGCTTTACTAATTTCCTCTTGACCTAATGGGATGGTTATATCTTGACTTTAGTAGATTAATGCAGGTTTTGAGAGACCGTTAATGGCGTGTTGCGGATATGGAGGGAGTCCTTATAACTACAATGTGAACATAACATGTGGGCATAGAGGCTCGAATGTGTGTGATCAAGGGTCTCGTTTCATAAGTTGGGATGGGATTCATTACACCGAGACAGCTAATGCCATTGTGGCCATAAAAGTGCTTTCACTGCAGTTCTCTAAGCCACCAACTCCGTTCCATTTCTTCTGCCTTCGGTGAGAGTGAAATTTGGAAGTTTCTCAAAATGATTGTACTATGATAAGAAAAAATATAATAATTGCATCGAGTGACCAAATTTGGGAGAGCAATTAAGTAAAATTACATGACATTTCTTTGTTCAGATGAACTTTTTTCTTTTTACAGCAAACAAAACTTTATATTGCGCATGATGTTTCAAAGGCGCTTTCAAGCCACCTCGGAATCATAGATTCCAGGTAGAAAAATACAATACAGCATAACCTAACTTCTTTTGCAAGAAGATCGGCATGGATATTTAGTTTACGATGGATAAATGCAATAGAAAAATCTTGATCTGATTTAAAGAAGCAATTCCGCGATGCTCCTTTATTGGTTGGTTGGCGCTATTGGAGAGGCTGCCGACTAAGGACAGACTAGCTCGGTGGGGCATTAGCGTGCAGGGGGAGTGTGTTTTCTGCTTGCAATCACTAGAGAAACACAACCATCTGTTTTTTGATTGCCCTTCACATCCGCTATTTGGGGTGCTCTCTCGGCAGGGTTTGGTACTCCAACAAACACATCCCTTCCGGCTTTATCGGTGGCCATTCAGAATGACCAGTCTTTCTCCGGCACCGCGAAAGGAGGGGTCTTCAGATTACTTCTCCAGGTAACCGTCTACTTTCTTTGGAAGGAACGCAACGCTCGGATTTTCTCCTCCACATCCTGCTCGGTCTCCGCCATCAAAGCCGCTATAGATCGAACTATGAAGGATCGCCTCCTCTCCGTAAGTGGGGCAACTGCAAGCTCCCCCTCTCTTCTCGAGGTCTACTTCCTCATGGTTCCTTAGTGTTGGTGCCGGTGTGTGTTTTCTCCTTTCCTCCTCTCTCTTGTAATAAGTTGTTCAACAACAACATTGTATTTTCAAGCTCAATATAAATCTTAACATTCATACCAAAAAGCAATAGAAAAATCTTGAAAAGAAGGGCGGATAAAATTGAACTCTTTCAAGTTCCCTAGACAAGTATGGCCACTCTTCTTGATATGTGTAGGATTTAGGCATTAACAACATCTGTTTTGTTTTTGGTTTTCATCATGTATCATATCTTTTAGAAGTCATTTTAATGATTTTAAGTTTTGTTTACATCATCCAGTGTATCTTATAGTTTTTGGCTATTTTGTTGTATTTGCATTGTGTTATAGAGAAAATGAGTACATTTTCTAAAAGGCTTTCTCTAACAATAAATTAAACCCATTAGGACCATGACGATTACGCCGACTTAGCTCGGACTAAAGGAGATATTCTGAAAATAACCATCAAAGACCGTAATCATCGGATCAGCTCGAAAGATTAAGGATAATTTCCATATTTCTCGGAAAATAAAGGATATTTTCATATCGCAAATATGAAAATATTAACCAAAGGCAAAAAGGAAAGGGAGTTCGGAGCAACCGACCTCCTATCCCAATAAATAAAGAGGACTTCGAAGCCAAGAAGGACAACTCATACAATCTAGAGAGCAGCAGAGCTAAAACCAGAGACTCCAACGGTTTCTAGTTTACTTTGCAAACACCTTCTTTCACTTCGGCATAACCTATCAGTTATACCAGTCTTTGTAATCGCTTTGCTTTATTGCTATTAATAAAAGATCTTATTCTCCAAAACCCACAACTGTTCATCAAATCCTAGTGGTGATTTTCTGGTTCAACAGTTGGTGCCGTCTGTGGGGAATAGGAGAATAAATTCTTAAAAACTAGCAAACAAAAAGCCGAAGCAATGAGTCTCCCGACCGATAACAGCGATCTCATCCGCAACGGCGATACCACTACACACACCGAGACTCCCGCTCTTGGCAAACAAGTTAACTCGACTACCGCGAATCCACCCACGGGAGCTGTCTCAGCTCCTATCCTCGCCTCCGATCTCGCAGCAGCGATCCAGGCTGCCATGCTCCCCCTTACGCAGAACCTGGTGTCCACCCTTCAGGCCCAGCAAGCCAAGTACGACGAATAGCTCAGCGCCTTCACGGCCGCAACCACTGCGAGATCAGGACCAATCGGACATCGACTAGTCTTCGAGACACCAGAGCAAGACGACGCCCGAGGAATGGCACCGGCTACTGAGGAGCCATCGGAGGAGCTGAATTCCGAGATCGCAAGGCTACACCAGCGAATTAACGCAATCGGATCCCAGGTCCATCGAGCCACCAGCTTCGCACCCGAGATCTCGGCTATACTGTCAGATGCCGAAGGCAATCCGTTCGCCCTGCGGATCACCGACGTACGACTTGGCGAGGCGATAAAACTAAAGCTCCAGTACTACAACGGGATGGAAGATCCCAACTTATGGCTGACCGGATTCAACGTCGCCATGAAGAGACAGCGCTTCGAGACCGACCTCGAACGCGAAGCAAACCACTGCCAAACCTTCGTAGAACACCTTAGCAAGGACGCTCTCAAGTGGTTCTCTAACCTACCCCGACATCAATCAAATCCTTCAAAGATCTGACCCATGCCTTTATCAAACATTATTCAATGTTCATCACGAAAAGGAAGGTCAACATATTCACTCTAGTGCAGGAACGTGACCAACCACTCCGCGATTTCATTGAAAAATTTAAGAACGCCGCCGCAGCTTACGGCTAAATCCCACAAGCCATAGCCATTGAGGCTCTTATGACGGCTTGTGGTTCGAATCTTCCTTCAAGGAAGATCTGCAGAAACACCCAAAGGAAACCATAGAAGACGCACTCCATCGGGCCCATACCTTTATACGGATGGAGGAGGAAAGAACGTTCTATGCCAAGAAACACGGCATGGACGTGGCAAGCACCTCGAAAGACAAGGAGTCCGCAAGCAAAAGCAAGCCATCCTCTCACGCTGTTGTAGCAACTGGAGAGAAGCCCTGGAATCAGTGGACCTTAGGAGATCCCCCGAGGAACACGAGCGATAAAGACGATAATCACGACCTCTACTGCTCTTTTCACGGCCGAACAGGACATGCTACATCGGCTTGTCGACACTTCCATAACACGCTGTACGAAAAGTACAAGGAAGGCAAAATTAGCATTAACGGTGATAGATCCCAAAGAAAAAACTCCTATCTACGCAGTTCCAACTCCAGGGACTCGCGCCAAAACACCTCCAGCAAGGATCACCGGGATTCAGGGAAAAGCAGTAGCCGAGGCGATTATGGCGGACGTCGACGAAGTCGTTCGCCCGAGAAAAAATGAGAAGAAAAAGAAAAGAAAAAAGGAGCAGAACGACAGAACGATGAAGGCGAGCACGATAACCCACCCCCTCCGCCGAAGCGACAGGTTAACATGATCATGGGAGGACTCTCCGATTGCGATGATTCAGTGCGCGCCATCAAAGAATATGGCTGCAAAGCAATCGCGTTGCGAAAATTCCCTCGTCCGGTGGACTACCACCCAACAATCACATTCACATCGGAAGACATGCACGGGTTACACACCCCGCATAACGACCCGCTAGTGGTCGAACTACACATCCACGACAGCGAAGTGGCTAAAATATTAGTGGATACCGGCAGCACTATCAACATCATCTTTAAAGATACGTTGACCAAGATGGGACTCCAGGACAAAGACATTAAGGCAGCACCAAAGCCTATGACTGGCTTTGCCAGCGAGTCCTTCTTCAGCCTCGGCACTATACGACTCACGATCTACGTCGGCGGAGTGACAAAAGTCGTCAAATTTATTGTGATGGATAAACCAGCAATTTACAATGCCATACTCGGCACGCCTTGGATCCACGAGATGAAAGCTATCGTGTCGACTTATTGTTCGCCACCTCGGCCGGAGTTTTTACACTCCACGGAAATCAACAGATGGCAAGATCTTGCTTCATTAGCGAGCAAAAAGTGCGACTCTCCGCGGCAAATGCTCTCGAAGACGCTAAATAAAGAAGACTCGATAAATCTAGCTACTAAATATTTATTTTCCTTTCAATAAAACCGGGCTTGGCCCCTGAGTGATACTATTCATTCAATTGTAATGAACTACGAATGGCTTGATCCCAATTTGGGTACGTAGGCAACCTCCGAGTGCAGCTGTAAATCTAATAAAATTTATATTCCGGAAAATCAGCTCGGCGTGTAGAGTCATATTTTCTTATGCGAATGCATTTTGCTGAATCGATGTTCTGGCCAAACATTCGATTCAAGAAAGCAAACACAACAAATAAAAAACAGTGGCTGATCACCACTCCTTTGATACTTTGGTTCGATTTAATTACATCCAAAGTGGATAAGAAGAAAGCCGAGGACAATTCTCGCACGACTCTCGATCATACCTTTTAGGCCAAAGTGAATCCTGAAAAATTGGTATTCGATCTTGAGGATAGTTTGGTATAAGACGAGCAAAGGAATCTCGCTTCCAGTTCCGAACTAAAAAGTTCAGCGCACAATAAAACTTCGCGAATATAAAAGACTAGCCTTATTTTCAGAAGAAAAAGCAAAATTCATTATAAAGCTAAATGTTAAGGTTATTACAAAACAAAAAGGGGGAAAAGGAAAGGAAGAATAAATAAGACAGCCTAATACTCGTCTTCTCCTAGCTCACTTTTGCAGGCTATCAATCTCTGATCTGCTCGGAAGATTAAGGTCCTCACTCGTAATAACTATCTCGTCGATAGCATCACAGGTCGCCTTCCACTTGGTGAACTCCTTCTCGAAAGACAGAAGGGTCCCGACAGGGAGCTCCTACCCTTTATCCTGCATCTTCTTAGGAAGGCCACCATGTGGCTACTTTTCTCCACGCCGGCAAGAGCTGCTTCCACCTCTTCGCGTTGAACCAGCGAAGCCTTAATCCGATCTAATCGCGGTTTAAACCAAGCGGTCACACTATCAAAGTCTCCGTTGGCAGCACCTTGAGCGGCTTCCTCACAAGTCTCCTGAAGCTTTTCCTTCTCGGCAAGGAATCTCTGTAAATTCTCTTTGTTCCGCTTTTCGAGAGACTCGTTCTGGGCTTGGAGAGCGGCGGCCTGCTTGCGAAGTTGATTAGCTTTGGTCACCTCTCCTATAAAGGTTTCAACGGCGCCTTCCAGCTGAGCACACTTCTCCTTGAGAAGTTGGTTCTCCTCTTGTGCATTTTTGAGCTCCTTGATCTCAGCACAGGCGGCGTCTAGTATCATTTCCTCTTGGCAGAAATTGTCGTCATATGCCGCGAATGCGGACATATACGCTCCCAAACCCAACATCACAGCCTATTGTC